TCAATTGCAGCATTAAATTAACAATGAATTATCTGACTGAAATAAACCTACCTTGGTAGCCTGGAGCAGAATTGCAAAAAATAAAAGTGAATGTTGGTCTGAATTTTTAATTTTTGTCTTTAAATAAACCAATTATCAAAATGTTGCTTTATATTAAAAGCAGGGCTTCTTTTGAATAAATATAAAACACCTTAGCAGTAAATGCCACTTGATAATAAGCTTAGAAGTAATAAAAACAATTAAAAAAATCAGGTTAAAAATATTCTCATAAATTTAGTGACCCTTTGGACAGCTATGTAAGCCCTAAATGATAGTTTTGAGATGGATTTTTTTCCAGGAAATAGTGAAAAAGTAATTTCTAGTTGCTATGGTTTAGAGTCTCAGAAAGTTTTTAAATAGTCCTAACTTTTAAATATATACAAAAACTGTTTTAAAAAAATAGCAACAACAGATGAGAAATGTTTAAAATAATAGAAAATATGATTTTTGAGAAAGGGGACCTACACTATATAGATGTGTCATATAGCCTCAACATTTTATAAAGTTTGATCAGCTAAATTTGATTTTTTTAAAGGAAATAAATAAATTTTACTAGATGATGAGGCTTTTAATGGCTAAACATGCATATTTTGAACTGAGATTTATATTTGGAGTAAAAGAACTATCTTTCTAGAGTCATTACCTCTTACAGTATCTTTCCACAAAGTCCTAAACCATGAAATTCGTTCCAGTGACCTGACATTCTGGGACTTCCCTTGATCTGCTGGGCAGAGACATTTCAAACTCAGGGAGCACATGATGGGAATTTAGTTTTATGTATCCTAAGTATATGTAATTCTCTTTGGAGGTTTTACTTGATAATAGCTATGCCCCAGAAAACCATCTTGTTTAACCAATGTGATAAGTTGACAATGTAGTTTTTCTCTCTGATTATAATGTACTCTGTGTAGTCAATACACTGGTACCATGTGAGTGTAATTTCCTCTTTTATTTTATCTCCAATGCACTGTATTATAAATAAACAGTTAAAAAAAACACCAAACAAATCTGTTGCATCTCCTTTTAAGATTGTACCACTGTAGACACTTGTTCTAGTAAAGTAGAATTGGGCGCATTTGATTGCATTTAAATTTTTCATGCTTCAGCAGTTTGGCTGGGAGCACAGTAAAGAAAAATCCCATGAGCGAGGATAGTTTAGAATAATAGAACTTGATTTTGTGTATTATAGCGGCAACATTTGCGCTGCTTTAGTTAGGGTTGTGTCAGCATTTCCATTATAAACCCCTGTTTTCAGGGGGTATAACTAGGGAGATTTTTTTTAATACAAATTAAAAAAACAATTCATTTGAATGATTTTAAGTTATAATAGTGCAAAAATAAAGCAAAGTAAAGTCACATAGAAATTGACCATCTTCACAAGGAACTTTGATTCTTCTGCTTATTAGCTTTATATAGGGACACTTAACATAAAATACTGTGCTGATACACTGGGGGGCGAAAACTTTAGTAATAGAAAAATTACTGATGTGAGCATTGAAATAAAATTAAACACCCCACATGATAAGTTAAAGCAAGTGCTTCTTTGATTTATGAATATTTAAAGGAAACTAGCCATGGTGTAGTGGTAATAGTAAAAACATTACCAAAAGTCAAGGGTCTTACAGCTTCCAAAACAGTACACTTGGTCTAGTGAAATGTTATAAAAGGGAAAACTGAAAAAAAGAAGTGAAATCAATGAGGATGTAATCAGTAAATTGAAGGATTCTTAAGTGACATAATTGTACAAAAATAATCAGTGAAATCTAATAATTAGTAAATCTAAGATTTATTAAATAAACTGTGCATTAAAAAATTGTGCATACTTTCCTTTTAAAAACCACTATCCAAAACAAAAACTACCAAAAACAACCAAACCAATGTAACCCGGCAGCATGCTGCACCTTGTTATCAAAAGGAAATGTCTGTAGTAGAGGGAGGCTTAGCTAAAAGAACAAAAATCCTCTTTTTCTATGAGAACAAAGATTTTGGAACTATAGTAATCACAAGAACTTGAATAAAATGTGGGGTGGAAAAGTATTCTTTTTGGGAACAAAATTGTCAGTTGCTTTACTAGAGGGATTTCAAAGTGAGATACGCCTTCCTTGGTTAACTACTATTCCTCCAGTCTTCTAATGATGGTGTGAACTGAGGATGAACAGTTTGATTTCATTATCTGTTTTTTGGCAGCCTATTTTTTTATTTGCAACCTTAATACACGTTTGTATTTGGAGGTGCAAAATAAAAGACAAATTGTGTGATGTTATAAATAGGTAGCTTTTTTGACTGGTCACTGGAGGAATCACTAGAAGACTGTTGATGAAGCAGAGGTGAAGCCTTTCCTCACTAATTGTATTCAGCGTGTAATTTCTAAACTTCCCTCTGAATTTTGATTTTCAATTAACACTCCCCATTTGAAGATAATTTTCTATTTAATGTAATTGCAGGAAATAATTTATTGGCTGATTAAGACTGAGGGCCCAGCCTTCCTTAAGAAAACACTCTAACAAACCAGCCTTTAAACTCAACTCATAGCTTTGGACAGATTTGGTCTATTTTTACAGCTGCATGGTTATGTTTAATTAGGATGGTGCACTATTGTTCATTGGTGCAGTTTATAGTTGAAATTATTCTTAAGAGACTTTTCATATTGGGTTTTATGTCATGATTAATTTATACTAAAGCAACAGTCACAGATACTGCTATTAGAAGGAACCAATTGACTTTATAGTAAGAGAACATTTGTTGGCAAGCTCTAGTCACTGAGTTTTGGATTGTGACTTTCCATTATATTTAACTATTTTAAAAAGCAGCATAAAATTGATTCTATTGTTTTTATTGTGATTTATTGCATTATTGGTATTGTCATCTGAACTATGAAAATGCTTGTTTATGGTAAACTCTTGATGAACGTGCAGAAATTATAGTTTGCCTTTTTTTTAAGCCATAGTATTTATGAGACCAATGAAATTAGGTCTAGAAATACTTGTATATGAAGAAATGTCCCTTCTTATTTTCCACAAACTTGTGCTTACACACATGTCCATTTGTTAGCACTGAGAAATTGGTCCAGTATGTATATTAGTTCTCTGATTCTTTGATATATCACTCTTTCAAACATATCATTTATTTCTCTGCAGAGAAAATATAGACATTCTTCCATGCTTGCTTCCCCCCATTTTATTTTCTAGTAGCAAGCCTAACAGATGAAATTTTTATTGTTTGAACAATAATTATTATAAGTAGGTATCAGCATTTAAACATGTTTCAAAGCACTTCAAAATCCTGTAATACTTTTATTTAGAACTGTGCATAATTAGATTACTGATCTTATATTAATTTTTTTCACTGTAGGATACTAAATCTGAGCCCCCTCATTAATTGTGAGAAATTTAGCATTAGCTGTTAAATCCTATGTGAAACATGGGCTGCTACATAAAAACTACTGTTTAAATTGGAATTAACTTAATTATTTTTCTTTGCACTTGATATTTCCTTCACTGCAATATTCATGAAAGCATGTGACAGATTTGTAAATTTAACTGTTAATCTCAGATTTCTAGACCCTTTAATCAGTATTTATTTGTCTGTAGAAACAGTACTAGCAAGTTAATGATTTGCTAATTTGAAAAATGCTCATGTGGTTTCCTATGTTAACTGATTTGTGCATTTTTTAAAAAATGGTATGAAATCAATTAATGTTTAAGAGCAATTAAGGTGGAGATTTTATTCCTTTCGTTACACAGCAATTTTAGAGCTAAAGATGCTATAAACTAAAAACAATGTAAAATTTTCAAAAATATACTCAATTGCCTATTCTGTTAGGGTAAGAACTTTTGGTGGTTTTATTTCTAAACATTTTACTAAAAATTCATGTTGATAAAGAAGTATTTTAAAAGCCTTGAACTTCCATTTAATAATCACATCTGATTACATCTGAAAATACAGAGTGAAAACCTTGTCATATTAAATGTAGTTAATGTTTACTTATGAACACATAGATGAATGTTCAGTAATTATTTCTGGAAGTTTTAAAATATTTTGCATAGTTTTAACATTTTCATAATAAATGCCTTGAATCTTGCATTGTTACTATAAAATAGAGGTATACTTATTTCATACAATCAATTCAAGTGTTACAAAATTGTCTTAAACTTAATCTAATACTATCAGCCACTCAATCTGTCACTTGAAAGTTAATTTATAGTAGTTGTAACCACTTTAAATTATGAGACTGATGCACTGCCCACTGTGTTAAGAAAGCAATTCATTGAAGCAACTTGAAGGTGTTTAGAAAAGAATCAAATTGGCTCTATAAAGTGTTAAGCCCAGAACTCATAGTATGAGACGTAGGAATTCAGGATGAGCGTTGTTTAGGGTTTTATCATAGATTATTTACTCTCTTAATTATATTTTCTCACATATATGTCTTTTGTTCCCATGTAACACATAAGAAAAATTTTTGTTTGCAAGTTATTCTCCAAACTGATTCATTTGCTAGTTAATTTATTCATTTTTGCCCATTCCTAGCCATTAAGAAATTTATAATCTGGTTGGGATTAGAAGGGAAAAAAATTGGCATACATATACTATATATTATAAAAACCTGTTCCATGAAAATTTCAGCTGTACATTGGCAAGAGAAAATATGCAGCAATAACTGGGAAGAGGTTTTCTGAGTAAAAAGCAAAGAAAGAAAATGAGAGAAGTGAAACAAGATATACTAAGAGTTCTTTTCAGTGGTTTAGAGTAATCACAAACACTTCTAAAGTTGGAGACTTTTCCTTTTTTTCCTGTATTAGTCAAATGTAGGGGGTATTTCTTTTAGTGGTGAGCTTAATGTAGAGTATATAGGTGTTGCTTTATAAGATGCATAACTGAACTTATATGTTGTAATGCTACTTCGGTGGAAGTAATTTTAAAAACGTAGCCTTTTTAATTCATGCTATTTCCCTCCTCTACAGAAGAATGTCTTCCAAGCAAGCCACCTCTCCATTTGCTTGTGCAGCTGATGGAGAGGAAGCAATGACCCAAGATTTAACCTCAAGGGAAAAGGAAGAGGGCAGTGATCAACATGTGGCCTCCCATCTGCCTCTGCACCCCATAATGCACAACAAACCTCACCCTGAGGAGCTACCAACACTTGTCAGTACCATTCAGCAAGATGCTGACTGGGACAGCGTTCTGTCGTCTCAACAAAGAATGGTGAGCTATTGAAAACTGAGCACTGTCAGTCACTAAGTATGCTTGTCAATATCATAACCTTATAACAAATAATAGATGTTTTAGCGAAAACTCAAAGTAAACAGCATTAGGAGTTATTTGTGTTTATTTAGATCTTAAAACAATCAGTAGTATATTATTAGTATCCTAGAAACTGAAAAAAAAAAAAAAAGGGAAGTGTCCATTATCAACTTATCAAAATGTGTTTAATTTAAAATTTGGGGTGACTGGGTATTCTTACTCTCTAAATCTCCAAATTTCAAGTTGTGAACTTGGTAATAACATAAGGTAGGTATTATCAAATAAAATGTGGCTGTGTATTAATATTGAAAAATTATGCTAAGTAAACATGTCTGTGTGAATGAGGTCATGTGGTAAATACATCTTCAGTGGGGAAATGCAGATATTTGTCATTTTTTATAGTCACTTGATTTATAATGAAGCTTTTCTCACTTATGTGCCTATATATTAATTCCAAAAGGACATGCAAAGCTCTTGAGTATCATTCAATCATACTGTAGGAGTTTGACCTAAAGGTAGAAACAACACCTAATACAGCAGCGTATTAACCAACTTTCCTATTTTAAATTCCATCTCTAGCCATCAAAACAGAAACCAAAGTAGATGAAATTTAAAGTAAAAAGATTACATTTTTTAGCTTCTAGGATGTGCCAATACCTCAATATGTTTTATTATATTAGGAATTTTAAACCCTATTTTACATTTCTTAACTTTTCATTTAGTTAATGAAAAATATTTTAAGCGGACAATGAGGAAATGTTTTATTCCTTAAAAATAAGGTAATATATAAAAATGCTTTTACTGCTAATATCACATATTAAAATCTTTTTTCTATGTTTAATGTCTCATAACCAATTCAATGACCATATTCCTTAATTTGTGGAGGCAGACAGTTTTCAGATGATTTTGCAGATACAACCAGTGCTGTGGAGCAGTAGGTGAGAAAGCAGGGGATTAGAATAAAAATAAAACTTTTCTAGATTAACCAGGCTCAAATGGAAACCGCATTATTCAATTAGATAGAGCACTATAAATATACTTTCCTTGCAATAGGGAGAGGAGAGAAGATAATATAATAAAGTTATATTAAAACACTGTTTTCTGATTGACCTTAAACAGTTCATTTTCTATGTCCAAAGCAGCGTGGATGAAAAAGATATCTAGTCACTGCCACTAACTTTTTTATGAGATAATGGAGTTCTATTTCTTTTTTATTTCAATAAATATTTATGGAGCACAGCACCTATATTGGGACCAGCATTCTACTAAAGAACTGGCTGTATAGTGTTGAAGAAAAATATGTGATTATATCTTCAGGTAACATATGTGTATCTAGGAGAAGGAACAGACGTTAGAACAACAGCGCATGTTCACACACACACACACACACACACACATGTAGGTTCAAGACTTGACTAAATTTATGGCATGTGTTATAAAGTAAAACACTCTTTGTGTTGTGAGAGCACAAAGAGAAAATTTAATTTAGAATAGATGAATAGGAATTCTTTTCCTGAATTAAGGATGATAGCCAGACAAAAAGTAGAAGAAAGACTAAAATTATAAAAAGGAAGAGCAGGTATGAAATATTTGAGGTAGGGTAGCTGAATTTCAGGAAATGAAATAGACTTTATGGCTAGGGTACAGTGAATGAGGATGCAATCAATCATCACATATGGTTGGAGAGATTGGTAAGGGTCCTATCCAGCAAGATGTTGGAGATAAAGTAATAGAAGTGAGATTTGATTCCAAATTCAGTGGAAAATTGTTAAAGGGTATAAGAACATTTCAAGCAGATAATTTGGATCATAATATAGTGAATAAATGGGGAGGGAGGCAGACTGGAAGGAGGAAGATTTTTGGGGAGGCTATTTCTGAAATTCCAATAAGAGATGAAAGTGGCTTCAACTAGTAGGGAGGCAGAGAGCATAGAGAGAAGGGATGTGTTCAATATATATATATTGGCTTTTATGATAAATATAGTGTGGACAAATAAAAGTAGCTGTGCTGGAGAAGAAGAAAGAATAAAATTATTAAAAGGAAAAGCAAGTATGAAATATTTGAGGTGAGGTAGCTGAGTCAGAAAGAATATAGTTAAAATCAAACTTTAGAGAACAATTTCCTTATTTTTCTTACTAAAATTTTATATCTTGGCTTGTGCCAAGTTGTTTTAATAGTTATTCTCTAAGTTTAATCATTTAAAAATTCCTCAGAAAATAGATATTAGTAATTTGCTTACCAACTTTATATTAAGTGGGGTTAATGGTAGTATAAAATAATGTAGCATAAATATGTTATATATAAAAGAAATCATATTTTCTGGAAATGTTTTCAAACTTTCACTCTCTTTTGATATCAAGCATTGCTTTCCACTGGAGCCTTTGTGTATTCTGAATGTCTGGAAGCCAAAATATTTTGTTTTAACTCCCACTCTATAGTATTTCCCAGCTGTGTACTTATATGGTATAATAAAAGGATTTAACAAATGGGAAATAGCAGCTGCATTTGGAAATTCCCTTTGTGCTTCCTTTTCATTTGATAAATTCAATAATGTATAACAACTGTAACATCAGACCTGTAATGACTTATACAGAAGTATCATATCACCAGCCAGTTTTTCTTTACAGGAAAGAAAAACAATAGAAGGATTTTAGGTTTATGGGCAGTTCTGCACCCTACATATTGCGAGTGTGTGTTTTGAGGTGGAATAGGGGTTGTTATTAAGGTAAAACTTAATGTACATTTTATCTTACTCTATTTTCAAATAAACATGACATCCAAAAAGATTGCTATGAAGTTAAATAATACTCATTCATTACAATGGCAAATGTATTTACTCACTGTAATTGAATGCCATTAGTAGTTGTAGAGAAAGAAAATCTGTAAGTCTGAAAAACAACAGCAAAAATTTTATTAGCAACTATTCAGTTTCCACTGTTACTTACTTTTTGTGATGGCCTTCACTCATGAACAGTTAGAAACAGGCACATTAAGTTCCTTATCTACATGGTTCAGGAGGCTAACTTTGAAATATCAAGACCACAGAGGAACTTTTCTATATGAAGGGGTAAAGACAAAGCAGAGAAGTTCTGCTAACCCCCATTTCCTGATTAGAAAAAAAAAATCTTTAAATGTTAAAATTCTGATTAATTATTTAAGAAATTATAAGACCACACAGTTTCAAAACAGGAAAAACATATAACATAAAAAATGTAAAATAGAAATTTTTAAATACAGGCATTTAAAGACTAATTAGAGATAAAATAAAATTAGACTCTAAATTTAATTACTTGTATTAAAAACCCCAAAATGTTAGATTTTAAATTTAGTGTGCCATTGCCTGTATTTGCTATGAACAACTATTACATTTTCATTATGGCATCAAGTATACTGACACCTTTTTTTCTTTGTTTTTTTTTTTTTTTGTTTGTTTGCTGTTGTCTTTGTGTTTTTGTTTATTGGACAGGAATAAAGTCACATCTTTTTGCTTTGTTTTTTATGGGAAAGACTTATAGATGTTTAGCATATTATTCTGTTTAATGTTAACAAGCGTAGAGATAGATTTTATGGTAATGTTTAATGGCCAGGAAGTGATATTGTTATCTGTTAAAAGTTACTGGAATGTAGGGTACCTACTGAATTACAGGTATAGATACCTTTTTGTGAAAAAGAACAGATAAGATCCTGTCTTTGAAACTTAGATTCTGATAGTATGACAGACTACAAAGAAATTTCACAGAGTGAGATAATTTGAGGTAATAAGTACAATGAAGAAAATTGAAAAAGAAAATATGATAGAGAGGGACCACTTTAAACAGTCTAGGGAAGGTTTTTGTTTTTTGAAAAGGTGACATTTGAACTGAGATTTAAATAACAACAAAGAACCAACTATGTAAAAACTGAGGGGAAGAAATCCAACTATAGCATATAATTGCGAAAGTTTTTTGGTAGTGTGTTTGAGCAAACAAAAACAAAGGAGTCGCTGGAGTGGAATGGGTGAGGGAGAGGTTGGTGTGAGATAAAATCAAGGAGGCAGGCGGTATGGAGTATCACAGGCTTCAGGGAGGTATTTGGACTTTATTTCAAGTGCAGGAAGAGCCACTGCAAGATTTTAAGAAAGAGTGCAATGTGATTTATGTTTTGAAAAAGATAATTTTAGCTGTGCATAGAGAATCGATTGTGGGAGACAAATCAGAAATAAGGACCCCTATTAGGAAAACTGTATCAGTAGTGCAGATGAGAGTTTGATGATAAGTGGTAGGGAGAATAGTTAGGGGGACTTATCACTGAGATGTTCCCAAGATCTGATGAAGACAAGATCCATACAGAAGGTGAGGACAATGTTTTAAGCAAACACAAGGGGAGAAATTAAGTCAAGAATGAACAGGAAATGAAGTTGCTAAAACCAGGTTGAAGGCTGGAATAGACTTAATCCTAGCCAGAGAATGGTCTTGGATAAGAGGGCTTTTTCCCTAAGGAGGAACTATTTGCAGGTAACTTCTAGCTGGACATGGAGCTATGGGGAAGTCAAAAACAGTTATATCTTAATAGCAACCAAAATAAAGACAAGATTGTAACTTGGATCTTGTGCACATATGTACACATGCATACTTATATTTGATATACATTTTAGAACAAAATGACATTTGGCGTGTGCCTTTTAGTCTAATTCTATAAAAACAACTATACTGGATCCTTAATTTCAGAATATCAGAATTGAAGACCTACTTAAATTATCCATATTAAGTTTGCTCTTTTGGAAAAGTTTAAGAATAATGTTTCCACTATAATAAAAGATGCCAATAGCATCCTTTGTTGTGATTTAAAGAAAATAATAAGCATGTGGAGATGATTAATAAATAGTTATCTGCAACAACACTGTTGATTACAAACAATTTCTCTTCTCTGCCTTTCTTGCTTGCGTTATAGTGAAGTTGCTAATCAACTCTAGAGTGTTTTAT